AGAGCGCGAGAAACGGTTGTGAAGGACTATAGAAGGGAAAAGATGGAAGGAATAAGGATCATATACCAGATTTATCAGAATGATTTTCGATGAATTGAATCCAGCGGATTAGAAGTAACTCGTGCCTATTCGTCTTTTTTTTCACGCTTGCCAATCTAAAGAAATACCCTATACCTAATTTCTGTTTTGACTTATCACAATGCTGTTTCATTAATTTATTCGTGAAAGGATCTCAATTAAATAAATCGTTATAGAAAAGAGATTCGCCTAGGTCAGATCAGAATACTCGATTCAAACGTTTTTGTAAATAAGCTGAAACATATGATTCAATTGAGCGTTCCTTTAATATTGGTGAAAGTTCGTGTGCTGCAATAAAGGGGCAACTATGTACTATTCTTAGACCTACTCTAAACTTACGTGTTAAGGCCGTTTGGTGAAAAATAGATAGTAGGGGGGAAAATGGGAAAATCCATACAAAGAAGGGAAAGCTGTTAGCAAAGAAACACAGTCTCAATACATCAGTTGTTATTCTTTTATTTCGTTTTAACCATTTCAGCTTAATATATGAGCTTTTAATCTTTTCTATGCAACGGTCAACTGTTGGAGTGAGTGATAACTTGTCCGTCCATTCAAATCCTAGATATCTAAATATCTTTACACATTCAAGTTGTTTCCCATCCAAATATATTTGAACTTTAGGTTGTACAACTTGCGAGTGAAACAATTGTACTACCGTCTTTTTCACATTTATCGGCTGTGTCCACTGCTGGGCGTAGTCAAAGAGATTTTGGCATATTTCTGTCACTTTTCTAGTATACTCCTGATATTTTTATCCTGCAATACAATAAGTTTTATAGTCGCTACAGATATCTTTATTCAGAGTACTAAATGTGATTGTGTGGGTTCGAAGGAATAAAAACAGAAAAAGCAGAAAGCAGAAAAATAGGATAGGTATGGATGTCAATGTCTTCTTCATCCACAACCACTTCAAAAATCGATATGCCCGTCTTTTTGGGTAGAAAGTTTTAGAAATTATTGAAATTTTCAACTAATATAAGGGAGACAAATTTGCGGCATTTTTCCTATCGATATGTCTTTGCAACTACTTGAGAGATTTTAACAAATAAAGTCTTTGTGTAAATTGTAGAGCTTTTCATGCTGCATATTGTGATATATTTTGTTTTTTTAATAAAATGTATTAGGTGATGAAAAGATGAAAATGAATAATTCGTGTAGAAAAAAATGATCTTTTCACAACGTCGAAAATCAGTTGCACAGAATTTTACTCTTTTTGAAAACAAAAAGTGCACAGTTAAAATCAGCTTTAGTTTGTAGATTGTAGAGCTTTTCACACTGCATCTTGTGACATTTTGTTTTATTAAAACAACGTATTAAGTGATGAAAAGTTGAAATGCAAAATGCCACCGTTTAATTTGCCCCACCTGTTGTTTTATGAGAACCAAAAACCCATGTAACAAACTTCCTTTATTGGCACTCTTACTTCTTGAGCTAGAACCTTTATTTTTGCACAATAAGTGTACTTTGACATGCTTTTTAAAATGGCTATTTATTTGTTGAAATTGCTCAAGTAGTTGCAAAGATATATCGATAGAAAAAATGCCGCGAACTTTTTTCTCATGCCTTATTTTATTTGTTGAACGTATTCATATAACGCTTTTTCAATCCATAGTTACATGTTTAAAGCTTTTGTTTGCTGTCTGTCGTTTAATATTTCCATTTCATTGAATAACTTTTTAAAATAATTTGAAAATTTATTTTTCAAATCTTTAGCCATCGCTTTCTTAAAAAAACAAGAAAATATACAAAAGTATGTTTTCTCTATTTCATATATTTCTGGTAGATGATGTGATACTATTCGAACGTTCGCGAATATATCTTTTCTATTTTTGTTATGATATTATTTGATTTCATCAAAATGAACTTCTGTTTCTTTTGAATAAAACAGCTGTAATATCCTATAAAGTCCTCTAGATAGATACTTTTTTACAACTGTCTAAGTAGTTGAATGCTTTTTCAATTTTATTAGCATCTAAATTTTTATTTTCTTATTTCTTGCATTTGTCTAAATTAAACGTTCCTTTCATCATAAAAAATATATAATATGTTATTTTTTGAAATTAAGAATTAAGTTCCTCTATGTTTTCTCATTAATACTTGGCATAAAATTCTCAAAATATGTTCTGTTATGGAGTTCGGATATTATTTTGTGAATATGTTCATTTTTATCAGAATTGACAAGATTTAAATTAATATTGATAACTGTTTCTTTTAGAGAGTGTGGGTGTGGTCCAGTCAGACAAGCGTTGAAAAAAACGACTTTTTTTACGCGTAAAAATCGCGCATTTTCTAGGCGTTAAAAAGAGTTTATTTTTGGAAAAAGAATAATTTTCCTGATGTTGCCGTTAACAAGGTTGCTTTATTTTTCGAACAAAAGCTACATTTCATGAAACGTTAAAATGTTCGCTTTTTACGCGTAAAAAAGTCGTTTTTTTCAACGCTTGTCTGACTGGGGGGTGTGAGTGTGGGTGGGTGTGTCTGTGGGTATGGGTGTTGTCTTCGCAGACACATGCACAAACCTTTCTACTCAAACTTAGCTTGAATAACGTTCTCGTTAACATATTCTAAATCCAATATCGGTAAATAAAACACTAAAATTCATGTTGCGTATAACAAGCAGATTATCATTTACTATTAGATTAAGTAAAGATAATAAGGATTGATATTTGTAGAACGGAAAAAAACGATTTGAAATAGTTTGACTTTAATCATTTATTATCTTTTTTTGTTGAAGTCACTGTTTTTCTTGGTGCACTTTATTGGTCGAAGTGATTTTCCATTTCGTTTAAATCTTGTGGCGAATATTGTACAACTAATTTCACGATATCTTGCGCTTGTTTAACTAAATATACAGCTGTTTCATGATATTCATTTTCAACAGAAACACCATTCACTGATAATAACTGATCACCTTTTTTTAACTTACCATGTTTCCAAGCAACACCATATGGAATAATATGTGATATGTAAATAGGAGAGTTTTCTTCTCGACCACCTGCTATACGAAATCCCAAACCTTCGGCAGCTTTTCGTAATTCAATAACACGTGGATTAGTATGACCTTCAAAAACAACAAAAGCAATTACTTAAATGTATCAAGGCTGTAGATGTGGCTCTGCTAGTGTAGGCATGTAGATGCGGAGATGATCCTCACTTTACCTACACCCCAAATCATTGCCTTAACATTCTTTTGAATATCATCGCGATATCAACGACTTTTGTTTATCGTTGATGGCGGTTCAGTAGCGGTAGATTCTTAAACACAATGAACATCTCTCATAGTAATCGATAAAAAGAACTTTTCTCATATTCAGTTTTAGTGAAACCTTCAAAAACGGTTGAGTTGTTTAGATCTTTTGTTATATCAGTTTCTAGGAAAAACGATAAACTTTCGATTAAATTCATTTCCATGTTCGAAGACTGCTGTTGAATTTCTAAAAATTTATGTATTCTCTTTGGAAATCTGTAAAAGAGAAACAAGTTGCCGTTTTTAAGTGCTTGGATTACTGAACAGTGCCTAGATTTTGCGACTATGACCACGAAAAGTTCTATCTAAGTAGCCAGGAGTTGAATTCAGTTTTTTCAAAACTATAGTACAAAGCATAATATCCATTTTCTTGTATAAATTCACTTCATCGCCAATTCAGATATTAACCAAGACACCTAACCGAAGATAAAACAATAGAAATTCGGTGAATAAGTGCTACACTGCCTTCTTTCATTGAGAGATTGGATGGCATATCAAGTCTTTTTGCTAATTTTGTTAACATTCTTTTAAGATGATTTAAATCTATCTCATTAAAATCATTTTCTTGACGTGTTTTTTTAGTTGATCAGTTAGTTTGGCTAAATTAAGCTCTGTTTCAGTAATATTTTCAGCCGTAGTTTGAAGTAATAGTTGTCTGTATTCATTGCTGCTTTATGAATTTTTTTTATTGAATCTTCCTCCCATTTATTAATTTTTTTTATCAATATACGCTTTGTCGGATCATGTGCCTGTTCAGTAAGTGTTTGTCGGAATAGATCACGATTAATTTCAATTTCATTTAGTTCTCCACTTAATTCTTGACGATGATCAGTTAAATGATTATAACAAAACAGTTTTAAACAACCTTCACATCTGACTGTATTCTTTTCTTTATCACATGTACTACATCGAGCTTTACTAGGTACTGTTGCCATATATCAATATTTTTATATTGGTAAATGTATGTGGACGAGTTGGAGATTGAATGTGTCGAACCAAAGTTTAAAGAAAAAGAGAATACCAAATGCATTATAGAGTAGCTACTCGATTCGAGTTCGAATATTAAATGAAAATATCAAACTCACACACGTACTTTCTATGCAAAAAAAAAAACACAAAAACTTATGTCAATTATAATTTATAGGGTAATTCCACGGTGTTTCTGCCGCGTTTACATCAAATACCTTCTATCAACGTGAAAGTCTCAGGATTTGTAGAGCTCGATTAGCTGACCATTTTGACGTGTCTAGATTGCAGAAAATACATTGGAATCTATGATTCCCAGAAGTCGAATTTTTATAGTTTTTATTGTGTAAAATTTCACAAACGAGTGTTTCGTGTTTTTTCATTTTTTTAAAGCCTTTATTGTTTGCATGTTTTCGATCGCGCAGTTTTCTTAGAAGGTCACTTTTATTCAGTTTTAATCATAGTAGCCGGAGCAATATCGTTTCGAATATTGGGACCACTCTGGAAAGAATGCGAGAGGACTAAACATCGATAGATTTTCACAAATGAGATTTTAAAATAGTGAAAAGCGATTTACATTTCAATTGAAAAAGTGTAACTTTTCGAATTTAGCAGATAACTGATATAGTGGCGAAGATAGAGCGAAACTTGCTCTACAAAATGATATGTATCGCTTTTCGAGTTGATCAAATTTATCAAAATGACAAAGAGTATAAAATCGGGCTGATTTCGATGTTTTCTGCCTATTTTTTGATATTCAATTACTATGTGGGTTTTTCCACGTGAACTCAACTACGTGTGCAAAGTTGACCATGGATGTTGATGAAAATTTCAGCATTTGTAGAGCTTTCAATTCTAAGTATATTGATAAAAAATTTTCAGATAGCTTTTGTTTTAACTAAGATATACTCAATATATTTTCAGCAGTAAAAATCGAAAATTCGTAAGAAAAAGGTTTCTTTTGCAAAATTTTCTCCAATACCACTTGGTAGTTTGTATACTCAAAACAAGCTCAGAAGTGAAATCCAAGGCGATATTCAGATTCATCGTGAGACGGTACATCAGATCATACTAAATTTTACTTTGGTTTTGAAAAAAACATCTAGTCTCAATTATGTACTCACTGACCCTCGACTACACAAGAATTTTGAGTCCTTGGTTATTCCAAAAGGCTATATTGTTCGATATAGTGGTATAGCCTATTCGATAGAACGTCGGTTGCTTTGCAAGTTCAATAGTACAGAATTATCAGCATTTTTCGTAAGGCTAAAATAGTGAGTCAACTTTTTTAAGTGATGCTTTTATCAATATACTTATGAGAGGGTTTGCGACACGGTCGCTAGAGAAAAGCTTTTGGTTTTCTATTCAACTATCTCAAATGTAAGGTACAAGCAAACCACATTCAAATCCAGAATATTAGATTATTTAGTAGTACCTGTGAAAAATGTGAGCTGTAACAGGGATAAAAGTTCCGTTTTGCGGCCTTTAATGATTCCTAAAAATGAGTATGTTCAATATTTTGACATTATCTCAGGAATGGCTGGGTGTGTCGTGTGGCTGTAGGTGTGGGTTTTGGAGCGGGTAACCAGAGCAGAATATTCACATCCAGATTCACACTTCACACCCGTAGCCACACTCATCCACGCCCACATCTACACTCTTGATTCCCCGGTTTAAATCGCTCGGCGGGTCGAAAACATCATGCTTTAGTGACCCATCGCCGAGCCCTCGACCTATCGCAAAGTAAGAACCCGAGCACTCTGCTTTATAATTTCGATGCCCACTGCAACTTCAAATCAACGAGTCAAAATGCCTATCGGATGGCCGCTTGAGTTGTCTCAAGATGTGTACGGTATTGAAATCAGTTAATTGAATCGTTCTTCACTTTGTTTTTCATGTACTTAAACAAAGCCAAGACAACAAAACTGAGCAAAAGAAATGAATTTTCTTTGATTCTCGAAACAGATCTAAGGAAATAATGTGAATGAAAATATTCAAAATCTTCAGATTTTAGGACACAAATGTAATCTCAGACCCAATTTCTCGACCACAAGGAATTCGATGATCCGGCAACAATATAGTTGAACTATCTTAACTCATCAAACAACAACAAGAGCACTTTGCACAAGTCATTATATTGGGAAAATAGTTGTGCATCGAGCTTTCTCTCAATGTAAGATTTGATTAATAAATATCGGAAGATGTCATTGAATACGTTGCTGGACTTTACAGCTACTCAANAGAACAAACGAGACTCGATTCGATAAGAATTCATCTATCAAGCATTTTCATCGGCTCGAGTGTCCATGATAATCATTTGTTGTATCACCAAAAGAAATTTCTTGTTCTTAATGGTAAATCGAACCACATAGCATAGCTATTCTAATGTATAAATAAAAAAAACAACGATTTGGAATTCGTAATACTATCGAATAACAATACATAGTCTCAACTATTTCTGAACGAAAAATATACTGTTTAATCAAATATGTCGAAAATTGAGTCAAGTTCTTCAAGAGCTCGATGTTTCATTCCTTTTTTATAGAAAAATATCTGTATTTTCTCGTTCATACGATTCCTCAGAAAGCCGAGTTTGATCTTTAAGAAAAACATAAAATGATGAGAAGATGTGTAAACAAATACCTGATTATTGATAGCGACACCTATCTAGTACATTGATCATTTGGTAACTTTCACTAGACAGATGTAAAAGAATCTTCATCACGTTCGTTGTTTTTTTTATTTATACATTAGAATAGCTCTGCTATGTGGTTCGATCTACCAGTAAGAACAAGAAATTTCTTTTGGTGATACAACAAATGATTATCATGGACACTCGAGCCGATGAAAATGCTTGATAGATGAATTCTTATCGAATCGAGTCTCGTTTGTTCTCAAGAAAGGTTTAGCAACAGCACTTACTTGAATGCAGAAAGTTAATGTCGAGGAAAATTTGATTTAAATTGAAGCTGTCGTAGGTAAGCAATGATCGTATAATGATGGCTGCTTGTTTTTACATACCATAACAGTCGGTAAATGCAAACTATGGAGTATCAACATAGTGTACACAGGAAAAAAGAAAAAGAACACAGGTAAAACGAAACGTCTCGTGTGCTGTTGACGCTTTCCACAGTCACTCAGATTCTTCGAGCCAATCAGTCAGAGTGTGAGGGAGTATAAGACGTAGAGCGTTCATGTAGGATGTAGGTCTAGGTGCGGATGTGTGTCGGTGTGGATGTGGATCTGCGTATTGTTACGAGACTGAAGAGAGAAACTATACCCACCCACGCCCGCATCCTTGATGGAACCGAGTCAGACATGTTTCAGCAACTATCGAAATTCATTTTTCAGGAATTTTTCAATACATATCGGTACCCATTATGTCATTAAATAGAAGAAGTTATAGAAAAAAATCAACATCTGACCGAGAACCATGATGAGACCTATGACAAAAATCAGCTGAAGTGAAGATTGTCTCTTTGAAGCTATGGGCTCTCTTCTGATAGTGCAGTTAAAATAAGTTGTGTACTATGAATCGATAAAGTCAATGGCTTGAGTAGATCTTCGTAGCTCCCATTACATAACACTATCTTATAACAGCATAACACTGTCTTTATTGACCATCATGAATGTATTCTTTTTACAACAATTTCTTTCTCACCAAAATTCAAGGGTGAGTGTGGGTGTGGGTATGAAGAGAGTGTCTACACCTACACCCCTATCCTATCGGAAATTAAATGATCTTTTAGCAATTATGTTTCACACATCTTTTAAAGTAGTTCCCTTTATTATCATTTTGCTTCTTTAAGATTTCAGATATAAACATTCTAACATATACTGAATTGATGAAGTATTTCAGTGTTTTTTCTTTCCTCCTTCTCCATTTCTCTTCGCACATGAGACTAAGATACTGTTGCTTTGTGCATCGGTTACAATAGAACGAAAAATAAAGTATGTTTCGCATTCTCCTTATGACATTATAGCGCACGACCACATCAACAAAACAATCGACTGAAGAGTATTGGTAGAAAACACTTTTTTGTGTTGTAGACTATTCATTGGAAGAACAAGAATAAGTTTTTGCGTTTGAATATTTGCTTTGCCATACGCAGGTGTGTTTTACTTGTTTTTGTGCAATCATTCTTCATCGCGTGTGTAAATGATGACTCAATTTTTCTGTGTTGACGAGTGAAATTCGAAAGTATCGTTAGTGTTTTGTAATAAACATATCACTTAGGAAGTATATGATCAGAGAATAGCTCTTTCGGATAATAATTTCATTCATTTCAAATTGATCTAAACATGGTCGTCATGTAATAAAACTACTTCATATCAGAAATTAGATGGGCTTCTATTAGTTTGATTCACATGTACAGCGCAGAAAAATATATCGTACGAGACCGAAAACTACATGGCATCATTTCTATTTTCTTCATGAATTTTTATCATTATCGATTTGTCATCTAATACAACACAAGTAACGCTCGTCGCTATGACTCGCTTGGCCCTCAACTAAATCTGATCTAGCCTTTATCTCTCTCTGTTTGCTGAATTTTGTTTTGACAGGGTGTGGGTGTGTGGGTGTTTATTTGATCATTATCCACACCCACACCCACACCCACGCCCACGCCCACGCCCACACCCACATCCCACACCCACACCCACACCCACACCCACGCCAACGCCCACATCCCACACCCACACCCTATTCTAGGGAATTATGTATGTAACTGATATAAAACCTTATTTGATACTTTTTTGCTTTTGCTGTACTCCAATGCTGATTCTGTTTTTTTAATTTATTTTCGAACTGATATTATGCACTTAAGTCTTGATTTATATTCGAAGTCGGATTTGAGAACTCATGTCATATTGCTCTATAAGACCAGACGGTGCGCATCCAATATGTATCTATGCACGTTCATGTCTTGTCGAACGCTCTTAGATGCTTCTTTCGTACCACACGAACTGAAGACTATCAATATAGCCCACACACATTCCTTTTACATATCCGAGAACATATCCAGGTAGGTTTGGTTCGATCTTCGCTTCGTCCGAACCACCATACACTCGACTTGTATTTCCTAAGGTTGTATGAAATTGAATTCCAACAACGAGGCGCGTTTTCCCTCCATTCATAAACTCATTAGGAATTTGACGATCGCCAACGTAGACTGTGATTTTGTCTATTTCTTCATTTGGGTTCAGCTGAAACATAGTACGTCTAGGACCACTAATCGTGCCATTCATCCGCCCACGGTGCTTAAAGTGAACATTTACGCCCGAGTAGATAAATTTAATGGAATTAAGGACCGGCTTTGGTTCTTGCATAGTCTTCATGGTCCAGTAAAGTATCACTGCTGTGACACGATTGACAGATGTCAATTGGTACTCAATCGCATCGTTAAACTTGTGGATCCTGGGATCTCCTCCATGTCCGCCATACTTCGGAGATCGATGGATGTCATTTGAGACGGCAACTGAAGAAGAAAAAAAGTTATATTTTGTTTTTCACAGTAAGTTCGTATGAGCGTTTGCTAATATATACCAGAAGGAATTTTAAAACCCTATGCAGTAGAAAAAATAGGGCTACTGCTACATTCGGTCTAAAAACTTGATTCTAGTAGTATCTTGAGCAAAAAAAATGCATCTGGTCTCATGTGTTTCATAGATCTTGTAATCAAAATATACCTTTCCCTTTTAAATAATTGTTCATTAAGACTAAGATTTTTAACGACGTACTCCACCAAAAAGGATTCACTTCATCGATCTAGCTTAGTCAACAGATAATCTTATATCTGAGTTTATGATGCGACCACTTTTCTACAAATCATGCGTTCATTTTATATGACGTTTTCAATAATACCCACCAGAATAATTTTGACGAAAATGAATCGAGAAAATCTCGGCTTAGGCTTAAGAGGGTTCAGCTCTCTTCACGTTTTAGATGCAAGGCGTTGAGCTCCGTGAGTTACGCACGAAACCCAACTTTCACGAGTTTTTAAGTTTCCATTTAAAAGATATAGAATGTACAAAAACACTCTAGGAGGAAGTAAACGGTCCCGTGTTCACTGTCGTTTCAAGCACGTAGTTTCAGCAAAAAAGTGTAAGAACGGAGTTTGTAAAATACACTCTGGAGTGCAACATGAGTTTTGGATTTTCTAAAATTGTTTGAACTCGGTTTGTGGAGTCAAAATTCTGGAAAAAGTTGTTGCCAGTTCAGTGTGGGCAAATTTTCAATAACGAGTTGGAACTTTTTTTGGAAAGTTCAAGCCAAAAGTCTCCTGTACAACTTGTGTCCCCACACTTTTTCCAGGGGAATGTATGGTAGAAACAAATTTGCCCATAATCGAAGGAACTAGCAGAAGCCGACGAAATCTGACTCAGTAAAGAGAAAATCAGCTAACACTCTCTCCTGTCACATAGTTTTTCAAATCCAAACACACATGATCAAAGCTTATCGATCACATCCTATCTTGTGAACTACTTTCGAAAAAGTTTCGACCAGTTAAAAACCGGATTTTTCTTAACGACCATGGAGTTTTGTACTCATTTAGAAAAAGGCTTCGTGCTTTTTTCGAACGAAGTACGCCATCTTGTAAGGGAATGAGTTTTGTATCGTTTAACGTGTTTATCGATATCGAAGTCCTTGAAAGTTCATGTTTTACATGCACCGCGGACTTACATTGGATCCCTAACAGAGGCCTGTTTATATTTTGTTTTCTAGTTGCACTATCGTGTTTAGAATTTCTTCTTGTGAGTATACTCCCATCACAAGCTGATTTTTACAAAGTATATCAGAGGAGCAACAAAAATATCCCCACCCATAGTGACGAAGAAAGGGCGCCAAAAAGCGTCAGAACTTGCAAGTCATATAAATCGGCGAAGGATTGATGAAAAGCTCCGAAACTTAGTCATGCGATAGCTCTATCATTTGCCTATCTGTTTATATAAATATGTGGTAGAGTGAGGAGAGGGTACGTCCTCAAACAAGACCGATTATTCTGTATGGAACAACCTTAGAATGGAAAATCTTTTAGAATCAGGAACCAGGACCAAACCCCAAGATTTCCAGTTTACCGTCTGAGATGATTCTCCAGATTTGTCTCAATGTGGTGCGAAAATCTAAAACGGTTGCTGACCTCTTTTTTCAATGCCAAATTCTAAGCTTTGCTGTGTTCGACTGATTAAATGAGTTCTACCTACTTGAGGTGCTTGGACTAGACGAAAAAGGCGAAGCAATCAACGGAGTAGCAGGACGTAAATCTCGCATGTGTACAGTAGTTTGACGCGGGTTGGAGTCCGTCGTGATACTGGATACGATAAAATGAGATCCTGGAACAATAATGATTTCGTCTTCTTCTGGAAAACAGGAATGTCTGCTTATGTCCTTGCCCCTTCTAGTTTCCATGCGGAAAAGTGTGCGATGGTTGCTGCTTGGACAGTCAAGAAATTGTTGGACCACATTCAAATCTTTACTGCATGATGAAAATGCCCACCAAGTGTCTGTGGATCCAGCCACATAGTGTCGTTCCAGGTTTGAAACTCCGCGCCATATCACTCGTGTATCCAGTTCCCAGCTAGAAAAAATGTAATAATACAGTTTGAAGCCCAACGCTTGTAGAAAGAGATATTGTTTTATTAGGCTTCATATCTAATTAGTTCAAACTCCTTGCACGCATGCCGTATCAATTTACACACAACTTTCATATCTTTCAGAGGTAAATCAAGTCGAATTTTAAGCGTCTAATGAGGACAATCCCCAGATATTAACATTTTCAGGACTTTGGTAGCATAAACATTGTGCCACTACTTTCACCTACCGTTAAACAAACATTTTCGAACTTGAAAGAATTGAGTTTGGACAAACTTTGGCATAGTTGCCCAACGCAACTATCTACTGGTGCTCCATCATCATAGCTTTTTGTGTTGCACACGAACATGTTTGGGGAATTTTTCTAAGGGACTCAAAAAGTGTGACGACTTGTTTAGTCAAACAAACATAGCCGATTTTTTTCTATAGTAGGATGAACTTTCGCTCGGAATCTTAAGCACGTATTTATGTTAAAACTACAAATTCCTTTTCTACAATTGAGCTTAGTTTATGAATAATTACTTACGGTAGACGGTAAACGGCTGTCATAATTAATTTGAGAAACCAAAACCATGGTTTAAGTAAATCCCGGTTTTTGTTTCTTAATGCTCTGTTGAGTCTCTCATAAAGAAGCCAGCCCATCGTATATATATATATCGATGCACTTTGATCATGTGTCAGACCATCTCGCGGATGTCGGGTGTTTTGTTTGGCTTCTGCTATCTTTTGTCTAAGACGTTCTGTTCAAATATTGCTCAAACTATAATAGTATGAAATAAAAAGAGGCGAAACGTCACCACCTTCGCGATTTTTAAACGATTCTTCTCAGGGCCATTAAAAATGCCTGCCTCTTCGAGCGGTTTGCAAGCGTCTTCCAAAACTAATAATGGATATGTTTCATATCCGTGGATTGCTGACCATCGACCTGTGTTCTTAAGTGTGTGAACATCGGCACTCGTAACCCGTTCTCCAAAGGTACGTTTACTAGCCATTTTGAATATATATACTGATTAATCATATAAAAAAACCTGAGCTTTAAATAGGAGGAGAAAATCTTCCAACTTGTGCGTGGAATAAATTATCGTGTCAGGTAGTTGTGCAAGGACACGACGCTACCCACGTGAGATATGCTCTTTCCTTCCTTCCAACAATATATTGGACTTCCCTTCTGACTTATTTTCAAATATCTCTCTCTTTACTTCTTTCTTATCAAATAACAATCTTGTTAAAAGCTTTGTTTGGGGTAAGAAAATTACCTGTGTGTTGAGACAGCGTGAAGAAAAAAGTATGTGCTACTATAACAACGATTCGAAGAATTGGTTCAAAATGGTTTACAATCTTGATGATTGCTATCTTAATCGCTTTAGTAATTGTTTACATAGTTCTGACTGTCTTACTTGGAACTAAATCTAAAGCAACAGGTATGGACTGTTCAATTTTTACTTTCTCTCATTGATCAAAATGAGTAGAAGACAAATGAAAAATAGTGTGCCCTGCAATAACAATCTGCCACTACTGTTTTGTAGAAGGAAGCGAAATCTAATAAATGTGTATTGGCTGAGACATTGAAATAATACAGAGATCATTATTTCTTCGAATGCATGCATTAGTACCTATATCAAATTAGTTCACAAATATGATGCTATGTGCAAAGCAAAAGGTACCACGGCACTGATACAAGCCATTATAACTACTTTGAGCGAAGGAAACGATTCGAATCCGACAACAGTAGGGTGTGGGTGTGGGTGTGCACGTGAAGAGAAGATCCACACTCACACGCATACGAACACCCACACATAAAGCCCACACCCACCTACACCCGCCCCCACACCCACACCCACGCCCAGTTAACGGCTTATACATGCAGAAATTTTCAGGTGAAAGTTCAAAGATTCAATGTTTGAAGAAGCTGGTGGTCCTAAAAGATTCACTAGAATTTCTATATCTTTCAAATTTGATAACCTAGCCGAATCCTCTTAGACTTTTTATTAGATCAGTATGTACTATCCATGGGCAAAAAAACTCTGAAATCAAAAGAGCACCCCTAACCGATTTTCTCATAAGTAAAAATTTAAAAACTGTTTTTTACTTTTAGTCCATATGAGATTCGGGCACATAATGATCAGTTGTTACAACTGGAACGACCTTTTTTAAATCCATTAGGACGAGGAGCAGATTACACTGATTATAAGTAAGAAACGATATTTTGTTTTATCTACTCTTTAATCTTATTTTCATTTATATATAAAAGACACATCATTTATGCACCAGCTAAAGGTGATAAATATGATGCTGCTGGTTTGCCAACTATTAGTGATGCACTTGCAACTGGCAATCAAATAGAAATCGATAAAGAAATAGCTATTGCTGCTTATTTTATACGAGGAGCTTTATCAATATTAAAACAATTTGATAAATTTATTTCATAAGATGGTTTACAAATCAATTTCTTATTATATTTGCAAAGGTGAAAATCAATTTTACTCAAGATGTTAGCTGTTAGTAAAACAAAGCCAGTTTCAATTAGTATTTATTACAAGATTTTAAATCCTATTTGTCATATAATCAAGCAATATTCGATTCTTACAAACGAGCCATATAACAAAACATGAATTCTTATTGAAAGATTTTACATCTCTAATGCAAAGTATAAACTTTTGAATTCATGAATACGATTCTGTTTTGATTGACTAGAAATGAATAACCTATGCTTTTCATCAAATAGCAATTACATTTAAAACAATATTGATCAACTTGAACATCCCAGATACATAAGCATTTCTATATATAATCGAAACTATTCAAAAAAGAATGATATTAACTTGATAAAGTTCAGATGGACTATGTCATGATATTTGTATGTGCGGTCGAAGAAAACAAAAACTTAATTCTTGCTAAAAGTCTCCTACAGACAAAAAGTAATTCCTTTATAGAATTGTTTCTATTTTCCTTCCTCTTGCATTACGATACATACGTTTGTACGCCTTTCTATATATGCCAAAGATACTTACGTTTGAATGTGGGCATTACATTTCGCTAATGTATTATTCTCTATTAATTTCAAAAAAATCCATTTGGATGATAAATTCAGAGAGGGTGTGGGTGGGTGGGTGTGGGTATGGCTGTGGGTGTGAGTGGGTGTAGGTGTGGATGTCGGTGCCAATGTGGGTGTGGATGCGGGTATGGCTTGAAGAAAATTGTAACTCACACCACACACTCACACCACCCACACCCAAACCCATACACCCACACCCACACCCAGACCCACACTCACACCCACACCCAGACCCACACTCACACCCACACCCACCCACACGCACACCCACACCCACACCCTCCACACTCATACCTCCACACCCTCTCACACCCACACACCCACTAGGTCAGCATGAGGAGCGCACAAAAGTCTGTGAAAAAAAATTTCATTACTATAGATTCTGATGCAGTTTCTTACGAGGATTCCGAATATGTCATTGGTTTCAAAATTCGACTGAAGAATACTGCACTTTCATCGGTTTTTCTGTTAAAAGTTGTATTGGTGTTTGCAAAAAACTAGAAAAAGTGCTAATAGTATTTGACATATATCTTGGCGAAAACAAGGGCTAATTCTAAAAATTTTTTATCAAAATGATCAGCGCAAAAAGCTCTATAAACCCTGAAAGTTTCATTGGGTTTGAACGTGGTCACCAGATGATCCTGGTGACTTTCCATGGATACACTCAAATGCAAAAAAGAGACAACAATGTTATATCAGGAAAACAAGAAAGGATTAAATTTGATTTATATCATTTTATAAATTCGTAGACACTCATTGACACCTAAAATTCCTACTGCAGAATCACTAAGACGATGGCTATGGAGCCCTTGATTCTTACCCTCAGGCAAGCAGGAGCTCTGCATTACCTTTCCGGTATCGTACAATCATGTGATCCCAGTTTAAACTTTTCCTCTCCTAAAATAACATGGATGCATGGTTTTCTGATTAATAATCGAGGTGACAGCATTCAGTTTCATCTTCATTCATATTATCAATCAAGTTAGGCAGCTGGTGTAGAAAAAAGTAGACCATCTTAGAATACACAAATTTGAACTGCATAAATTGGACATGATTTCATGATTTATTAAAAAGCGAGAAAAATCGTGTCAGTTTATGTCTTTGAAGATTGCAAGTTTTACCGGTTTATCTCAAGTAGAAAACAAAACAGAATTATTATCGTCGCATTTTTATTCCACGTAAATATCCTCTTTGTTGTTTGCACGCAAAAACACAGGAGTCTTGAAATAGAGAATAGCGTTTCTTAATTTCATTGGCAGATTCAGAACTTTCCATCTGTGAATAACTTTCAATGAAACAGTCAAATGTCTCTAGTTTTGGACAATTCAATAGAATGCGGTTAAACTGATCCATGATATGATCAAGCGGACTTCCATCATACATGTAGATAATGGTATGCACTAAGTTGGGCACACATTGATATATGTCGAATAGTTCTCCAAGTCCCATCCTTACGCCAGAAAAGTTTGTCGATGATCTGTCGTAAGTCGTCAAATATAAGCCTTCTAATCCTAACCTTCGATTTTTCAATAATCCTGAACTATTTGTACTCAGTGCACAGTTAAAACTTTTCAAATTTGGCAAGTTGTTAAGTAATGGATAAAACATCGAGCTATTGCAAAATTGGATTCCAACATACTTCAAATTCGGTGACCAAGTTTTTATTCCAGGTATACAGCCACCATTAGCATATGGTAAATCTACAAATTCCAATGTTGGAAAGTTATTGCCAAATATCATGGTACAGAGCTTCCTATATACATCTGTCCATGATTGTACATAAATTGTTAATTGTTTTAGATGTGGAAATATCTTTGGTTGTACATATATTAATTGAGGCTCTACGTATCTATAAACATCGTACTCTGTTTGACACGAGAATGTTAGTTCACGAATATTAGTGCATTCATTAAGTTTTGAATATATGTATTGGCTTTGACACACGTAGAATGAACGGATTCGCTTAGGATTAATGTTTGGAAGAACAAATCGTTGTTGGTCTTTGGTTAAGTCTGAATGAAAATCGACGTAGAACTCATCTATAATACGATTGAGACGCGAATTCAAATTATAGAAACCACGAAATAAGTCTAATCTCGGTAGATATCGAAATATGCGAAGAAATATTTCATCCGGAAATATAGTATCCATATTAGACTCGCGACTGAAAATTTCTGATCAGGAACTCTAATCTAAAAAAAAAATGTCATAAAGGTAGTAAAATAACCATGGAGCGAGTATAAAAAATAAAAATGAAATGTATCACACCATGCTTAAGTCATGCGCAGTAAGTCATAAATAAAATGCTGATAAGAATTCATATCTCTTTGTCTGATATGAAATAGAGGTCTTATTCAAGATTTACTTAAATATGTATTTATAAAATAAATATAAGTAGAATTGCTATATTTATAAAATGAGGATGAATGAATTTAGAAGATCATTTTTTATCATAATTTTACACTTGACTTTCAGCACATTAGTTCATATAAAGTGTTGAGACAATAAACGAACACAAATTATATAGACGTAACACATTTACATGTGTTTTTTTTGTGCTTTCGCCCGTATTTTCGATAACAGAGTGTGGAGATGATGTTTAATACAGCGATTGTAACAAAAAACGCGGTTCCTCTTTGATCCTATGAACTCGAAGCATCGATGAGACTCTCTAGAATCCATGAATTTCGCTATGATCCACCAGAACCCAATAGAAACCCATTGTCTCATGAAACTTGCTGGTATCTGTCTGCTTTATCG